GCATGAACCACAAGGCAGGAATCAGTGTAATTAACTAGTTAATGGAAAAGTAGTTTATATAAAGTTTCACCAGTTACTCCACAACTTCACTTCTTTCTTGAACCAAAACACTGGAAGCATGAATTCCAAGGCTTAAGGTGGAAAACTACTCTAAAGCAGGTGAGCACATGAGGAAGTTTAAAGTTTCGTGGGAAGAGCCTAAGAATAAAGCTAGGGAGACTGTGAACTGCGTGCTACTTCCTGCCACCCTACCCTAAAGTAAGCCAGCTGGTCAATATATTCAGCTCTTATAAACAGCTTAGTTTTTGTCCTTCAATCTAGAGAAGATGCCTGTTGCAAAAATTAACATATATAACAGTATAGGAAACTCATAAGAGCTATTATTAATCAAACATTAAGCCTATATTAGTAAATATGGTTTTATATCTGTGTTCTCAGTTCTGTTCCTTTGGTCTGTGTCTCTGTTCTTGTGCCAGTTCCATGCTGTTTTAGTTACTATAGCCTTGTAGTATATCTTGAAGTCTGGTAAACTGATGCCTCCCAATTTGTTTTTGCTTAAGATTGCTTTTGCTATATGGGGTCTTCTCTCGTTCCATATGAAGTGTAGAATTATTTTTTCTAGATCTGTGAAAATGATGTTGGTATTTATATAGGGAATGCATTGAATCTGTAGATCACTTTGGGTATTTAGACATTTTAACAATGTTGATTCTTCTGATCCATGAGCATGGTATGGTTTTACAACTGTTTGCATCCTCTGCTATTTGCTTCCTCAGTGTTTCATAGTTCTTCCCGTAGAGGTTTTTTTTTTTTTTTTTACCTCCTTAGTTAAATATATTCCTAAATATCTTATTTTCTTTGTTGCTATTGTGAACAGTATTGAGTTTTTTATTTGGTTCTCAGTTTGATTGCTGTTGGTGTTTACGAAAGCTACTGATTTGTGTACATTGATTTTGAACCTAAGACTTTGCTGAATTTGTTTATCAATTCCAGTATCTCATGGCAGAATCTTTGGGGTTTTCTAGATCTAAGATTGTATCATCAGCAAAGAGCAACAGTTTTACCTCTTCTTTACCCATTTGGATGCCCTTGATTTCCTTCTCTTGTCTGATTGCTCTGGCTAGGACTTCCAGC